GATAAACAATTTTGCCTGTAACATCTACGCTTCTAGGCTACATAGAATTTGCAAATTTTATACCTAGCAAACGTTTCATATATTTTCTGCCACGTAGTTTTCTTACAAAATTGCGTGAAATACACGACACGCAAGGCAAAATGAATCACTGAATTATCTTACTATAACTACCGGAAATATATATATATTAAAAAAAAGAAATTCAAGCAACTTATGAGATGACCCCCACATTCCATAGTAAAATTTCATTCCTTTCTATTGGGTCTACTTTAGTCACGTGATTAGTCTCTTTCCCACGGTGCCTTCCAACTTTTCCAATTCATAAGTAAAAGCACATTAGCGGATCAAATAAGATGAAGTAAGAGGGGTTGATATTTAAAAAAAAATACTCACGATGGCAGATTTTGCTGTCCCTGTCCCTTATTAAAGGCAGTCGTCCGTTCCATCCGACAATCCTAACAGCGCAGCTGAACAATCGGATTTCCCATACAGGCGCAGGCTCGAGTTCATTCTTTATTAATCGCACGCATGTAGTTGCAGCTGTACAAGTGTACACCCCGTGCACTCCTGTACACAGTTGACATGGTAAATGGTTCCGCAAACTAGGCTTAATGGAAATAACCAGACAATGATCGCGATCTTCATTCTCACGTCTTGATCCATTGCAATCTACCTTTCCAATGCCGCGAAAATTGCACGGGGATTTTTACCCGTGATCATCATCATGTGATCAAAATGTAACCTTATTTGGAAAATATACTCCAACATGAGGGCGCGACAATACAGATCATTTAGAGAGTGGCACCACTTTATTAAACTGGATGACAGAAATGTTAGAGTGACTCAGATTAGTAATTAGATTAAGTTGTTTTTAAATTAGCCAAACAGACCCATATTGTTCTAAATCTATGAAGGCAACTTTAACTGGAAAGTGATCTAAACTGGGAAGTCTTAGTTAAAGCCATATATGGCGTAACTGATAAAAAAAATATATTTTTGAAAAATACAAAACTAAGTAAATATAGTTAATACATTTAAATTAAAACTTTTCATACAATTCTGAACACGGAAAACACCTCGTTTCAGCTTATAATACGACTTTATCTTCTCTGTAATGTGTTATTTAAATCTTTCGCATTTTCTTCCAAGTCGGAGAAAATTCCGAGAATCCAAATTAAATTCTGATATCTGTATAACGCAATTGACTTAGATTTTGTAATTTACGGAAAAGTTCTATCTTTATATAAAGTAATGATACAAATAATAAGTTCTTATTATTTTAGTTTAATAATAATTTTCATTGTACATACGCAATATATGGCTTTAACAGAAAAATGATGAAAGGTAAATTATCATCTAACTATGTATGATTAACAGCTAATTATTCAAATGACGTTTTAAAAACTTCAAATGGATATATTAAAAGGGTCGTGACACACACAGATAAAAGCCATGACATTTGCACTTATTGAAATACTAGGTCATGTCAGGACACGCTACACTACCTTTGTGCGCAGGTGTATCGTGAAAAAGCGGAATTTTTAAAATGATTTAGAATTGCCCGCTTTCATTTGAAGAGATTAAGTACGACAGATGATGAGCTATTTCGTATATATTTCTGGTTTTACTTTTTTTCTTTTAATATTTTTCTGATTTGTTGGTTTTCTTAATCAACATACTCAATATTTTATCATATTAGAAATATCATCACCAAAATAAACGTAAGTAACGTATACAAGAAAAAATGCAAGTCAGAGTGCGTAGGTAAGCGTGAGGGTCACGTCATAAAGTGAAATTTCAATGAAATATGTTGTCTCCTACATCAAATTAATTACTGTTCTTCATATCCAAACTTAAAAAAAATAGCAATGTAACCATGACAAACACCCTAACAGACTATATGCCATTTCTCTTGTATAACTTTTCCGCCTACTTACCTCCTCCCCATGGGTATAAATATGGGAGGAGTAATCTTTAACGGTACCTTTCACCAAAAAAAAAAGAAGGAAGATAGCAGTACTAGTGAGAGAAAAATGTGGCAGACGAAATTTTCAACTTTCTGTAAGTAGATCATATCTTAATCTAATGTTGTTAATTGATAACAATTCTCAATTTTAACTTTTAAAAAGATCGTTGTGGACCAACTTCAGATATCCGATGTATAATGACCAATATTGTTAGTAGGATTTTTTTGTGAACCTGATATCAATTTGAAGGGCTTATCAAATGAAAATTATCCACCATAGGAATTTTCAGAATTTTGATTTATACTCGAAGCATCTCACCTTTTGATTTAACATTGAAATTTATGGGAAGAGTGCATTTAATTCTGATATCTTTAAATGAAATTATATTTTTCAAATAAATCTCCTGGTAGAAAGTTACATATACTTCCTCTCTATCAGGATATTAATTAAAATTAATCTTTTACGATGTAAATTTTCAGAAAATTAGATTTTTCTCAATTTTATCATAAGTAGATAACTCTTCACGAAAGTCCCGAGTGCAAGAGGGCCAGCTTCTAATTATGTACAATTCCTGTAAATTTGGTGTACTTCACTATTGTCGTTACTGAACTATGGTTATTTATGATCATTTCAATCACTAAGATGTGTCCATTTACCTCTCATTACATTTTTAGTCATTCTGTTTTATTTTATTTCAGAGATCTTACAAACTCCGCCAACTCTTTCGAAGAGTTTGAGGCTCTATGGGTACAGATGGGAAAAGATCTTGAAAATGAAGATCCCCCCCCCCCCTTCTCCTCAAAGAACGGTCACAATCACACCTGTCGATGCAAACACTTTTGAAAGGTAGGAACTTTTACAATTAGAGTTATCGTTCTTACCACACTTAGATTTAGTATTGCTAGGAGATATTATATATATAAATTATCGATTATTCCTAAATGATTAAGCTACAAATGATGTTTTAAGATCAACAAAAGTGTATGTTTGTTTTCTCAAATATTGTTCAGTGCATCAAATGAAAGCAAGACATTCATTACATTAGAACCATCAACCCCCGTCGTCCCGCCGTCCTCAACACCCAAGTAGTCCCCTCCAGCTGATGAAAACTGGCCACCAGTTATTGTTGACGAAGAAAGGGCGAGGGATCGTTTGAAAATGTGGAGAATTCTATCCTCACCTCCTTTAGGTAAGGTCTTTTCTTTGTATTATTTAGTTACAACCTTTGAGTGTAGAGTGATAACTCTAGTTTCAGTAAAGAGTATTTTTTCTATGAAACATCTGTTTTTATATACCCACTGTTAAAGACTCGTATTTATATTTCATTGGATTAATGTATGACCAAACCTAATTAAAAATGTATAATTTCATTTTTTTCATAAAGAAGAAAGCATCCTGAAAAATATAACTCACTGGAAAAAAAGATGCGCCAGCCATTGAAGGAAAATGTGAACGAACAATTTAATATATTGAGGAATTTACATAAGAGAATGGCTGAGGATACGCAGCAAAGCTCCATCATAATTAACCATTTAGAGGATAAATTTGAATGCTCAGCTGGACCTGCCAGAAAACATGTGAAGTTTTCTTCTTTATAATTGTTCATAAAGAAGTTGTGGTGATGAATTTGTAAGAAATGAACTTCTTTAAGACAAAGAACTGTAATGATGAATTTCACAAGGATAGATTTTATAAGAATGTTACGTAGTTTATACTTTCAAAAAAGATGTTTTCATCACTTTTGTTATATAGATTTAAAAACAACTTTTATATTGTGTGAAAATAAACATACCTATAGATGATAAAGTGTTTGGTTATTTTTTCCCTTTACATCTGAAATTTGACTGTGAAAAGCTTGTGAAAACTTGGACTTTTTATACTGGTGTAATCATAAAGTTGTCTGGGTACAAATTTCTTTAGAAGTTGGATCGTAATTTCCATACAAGTTGCTATGTCATTCCCCAAAATGTTTTAAAGTTGCATTGTCATTTCTCTAAAAGTTACAATGTCATTTCCCTGAGTGTTGCTATGTCATTTCGTAAAGATCTGCAAGTTACTATGGCATTCCCCAAAATGTTTTAAAGCTGCATTGTCATTTCTCTAAAAGTTACAATGTCATTTCCCTGAGCGTTGCTATGTCATTTCGTAAAGATCTGCAATATCATTTCACCAATTGATAACATCAGTGATTGTAGAGTACACCTTGACTGCAAAGTCACCTCTATAATGTTTGGAAAACCCCATGACGTCATTGACTGTAGACTCCTTGACTGTAGACTCATTCTTTGCACTAAGTTAACCCATGACGTCATCGACTGTAGACTCACTCTTTGCACTAAGGTAACCTAATGACGTCATTGACTGTAGACTCCACCCTTCACTGTGACCTCATATGACCTTTATGGGAAAAACCCATGACGTCATCCTGACTGTAGACTGACTGTTCTCTGTCCCCCTTACTACTAACGTATTTATAGTGAATTTTAAAAGAAACGTACGTTGACGAACATCAACGAAATGATCATTCAGCATCTTCACAGGTGTAGGTGGAGAAGAAAAATGAATTTATGAATTTTTTCAGGACACCATGGAAATAGACTTCTTGTGGGCAAACAGTAGAGACATACATACCAAATAATTCCAATTTAAGGACAGATGACACATTTTTTTTTCAACGAATATAAACTTGGGTCATGTTTTAATGAGTAAAATGAATAACTTTCACCGCATTTTTTTTTTTACATTTTTTATTAAAATTTTCACAGAAATGGGATTTGAAGTGAAAATATACGTATAGATAAATAAGGATGGTTTCAGAGAGGCAAAATTTAAACGTCACAGAAGGTTAACAAATTCTTTATATTTTAGAAATTTACGATTTGCATCATTTTCAATGAAATTAAGCCAAAAAATATATACCTATCTAAGCATCCATTTTTCCTTTGTATCATTTGGCCTTACGAATAACTAAAGCATTCAAAAGGCAAAGATTTTTAGACGGAGGCTGTATGACAGCCTCCGTGTATAGGGATTGTCTTGCCCATGGAATGTAAACCGGAAAGATTTCTCAAGCACCATCTATCGGTGGAATTGTCTTCATTACCTTTAGAGCGACTCTGCGTTACACCGACCGCAAGGATAGGCATAATCTAAAACAAAGATCGCGTTACATACAAGTATAAACAAAGAGTTCTGCTTTTTGTAAATAAACAGGATTTGTCTAATATTTTTTAAAATGACGTGTATATAAATACATTTCCTACGGAATATTTAAAAAAAATGTGATTTACTATTAATTTTTATCAGACAGAATATTAGGAGATTTTGTTCCAACAGACGATGATAAAGCATGTTTTACAATATGCTGAGCCTTTTCCCGCCGGTTCTCACACCAAAACAAGAACGAGAAGAAACGAAGTGGCGGATCTAGAGGGAGTTGCCAGTTGGGGGGCTTTAACATCCTCGGAGAGGGATAGAGGAACCCCACTTATCAATAGTTTTTTTTATTATTAAAGTAAAACTATCTCTGGTTACAGATAAGTTTTAACTTTAGTTTTATATTTATTTGTAAAAACCTCCACCAGAATTCACCTGTGTATCAAACTAAGTGTGGAGACGCAGATGTACCTGTAATATGAGAGAAACGAACGACAACTCTGTTATTGATATCAATATGTATCTGTCACGATTGACCCGATTGGTTACAACCCAAGTATTTGGTTCATAGGATTTACTTGATTTATCACATTACATTATTTATCAAATTAAATGGTTTATCATATTATGCCCTGATTTTGGATTTAAAATCATATTTACTTCTCAATTAATTGTTTAATGGAATTTGAGATCTCAGTAATATCTTAGAAACATGACTTGTTTACTATTACATGTAACATGTACTAATATTGGAAAACCACTCGGCTCGAACATGCCATTAGAGCTATGCGACCCGTCAATGAGGTCTATTACAAACCCATGTGTTTTCGTGTACATCATTATGCTTGGAAAGTGAAACTGTAGGATTCAACACATAGTCGGAGCGAAACTACTCGACGTCGAATCCTCCGCCACCTCTATGTCATACATACGGTAAGGGGTTCACAAGCAGGGGCAGATATAAAAAATAGTTCGCTGTTTTACTGTTTAATTTGATGATTTTAAGGTAAAATGTATAAGAAGAAGTAGAAACACGAAATATTAATTTAAAATACCTTTTTCTTTTTTCGTCAAAGAATGTTTTTTGTGATGTATTTTTGGAGAGTAGGAATATTTCGCAATCCCGAACATGGGCGAAGTAGTTCCATCGACGCCATATTTATTTACGTTTTTGTGTACTTTTTCTGCTCTGCTGGTTTCCTCGGATTTTTTCCATATTCAACAGTGTAACCGACTTTTCCCTTCCTTGCAGTAGAGTTATATTCCAGAGGTGAGCATTATTTATGTCGTTATTTTCACATTTTGTCCAAATTGTTCTTGAAATATTGAAAGAGAAAAGAAGTTGATCAGTGTCAGAAGAGCGTCTTAACCAAATATTTTAAGAACTTTGGAAATGATTGAAAAGCTTTAGACGAACTTTCAACGTGAATGAGAATGTATTGAGAAATGACTGAGAATGTAATGAGAAATGAGCAGTCATGAGAATTTGAAAGATAGATTGTGATGTCATGTTTTGTGAATTTTTGTTTACCAATCTACTGAACCATTCTGAAAGAAAAAAAATTGAAAAGCATAGAAAGACCATGGTTTTTGCAATTGCTTTTCAAAATACTTATGAGATATTTCAGTTTTCAAAGTTACATGAAATATTTTTACTTCTGTGTTAGGAGGATTACAGTTAGGATAAATATACCATATATATATTGAATGAATATGGATGCAGAATCTTGTTTTACTTAGTAATGTCTCTGATTACTGGAACAACAAGTCTATGGTGAAATAGGTAAATTTATTTCTTGTTAGTTTGTATAGGATTGAACCTCTTTACTTTGATATTGGAAGTTAAATATGGATATCAATTTAAGTATTTCTCTTCCTACAAATGTGTTACAAGGCGATTTTTCGCAAGGTGCTGCTCATTTTTCGGAAGTATCAAGAGGTAAACAATGTGTATGCAACTGCTTTATGTTTTTACTGTATGTAAGCTTTTTAAATGGTGTGCCAACAATTTCAAAGCATGATTTACATGCAATACTGATGTCAGGTGATGCATTGTATACACTACGAAAGAATCCTTTTCAAGATTATTTGTTACTGAACGAACTTCCCAATCATGTCAGATACAGACAAAAATATTTTTCGTCATATATACAACAAGTATTTGTTGGTACTATGGGTCAGACACTTAACTCTGAAATTAGTTTTTCATTAGAGGGTTTTTTGAATAGGGCATTTGCAGTTTATGACAATGTAATTCTCATTTTTCATTCCTGTGCAATAGCAATCAAACACAGCAATGGTAGCTTTTACATTTTTGACCCTCACAACAGAGGTATAAATGGGTTGTGTGACCCAGAAGGCAAATGTACAGTTTCTATATTAACATCCTTTCCACTTTTATGTCAGTTTTTAAGGCAACTTTGCCTTTCCCTGTCTGAAGTTATGCTTGATCAGGTTGCATTTGAGGGATGTGCTTTATCCATGAAAAAATTGTCATTTAAACCTAAGAAACCTATTGTGTATATTGAAGAACACTTGCAAAGTATTCCTCACCACAATCTTCTTCATAGTAAGTCCCAAAATGAAGGTGTGTTAGGAAAGAGAGCTTATTCACACAATGAAAATGACATGACAAGCAAAAGAAGTTGTATTGAAACACAGGGTAGTTCTGATAGTATGCCTTTAATTTCAATAAATATACAGGATAAGGAAAAACAACCAACATTTGACAAAGACAGCAAACACACAGAGAGAATGAGTGCTGTTATTGCAAGTTTTAAAGCTACTGTAGTAAATGGACCATCATATGTTTGCTCTTGTTGCACACAAACTTGGTTCAGGGAAGGAGTTGTCAAATCTGATACAATTCGTCAATCAGAGTTTGTGAAAAAAATTTTTACTTGATATTAAAAGTGTTGGGGATATTGAATGGATTTGCGTTACATGTTATCGCCACCTAAAATCTCGGAAAGTTCCATCTTGTTCTGTTAAGAATGGGTTTTCCTTTCCAGAAAAACCATTGCATTTAGATATAACTGAAATGGAAGAGCGCCTAATAAGTCCGCGGATTCCTTTCATGCAAATAATGGAAAAACCAAGAGGTGGACAAAAAAGTCTGCGTGGAAATGTTGTCAATGTACCAACAGATGTAAACAAGACAGTTAAAAGTTTACCTAGAATGTTTGCAGAATCTGAGACAATTCAAGTGAAATTGAAGCGTAAATTATCATTCAAACATCATGTTCTGCATGAAACGGTCAGACCAAAGAAATGTCTAAGTGCTTTACGTTGGTTAATTGACAACAGTGAGTTATTTAGAAATGAAGGGATAACAGTAAATGAGGACTGGAACATAACAGAGGAACAGAAAGATTGGTTAGATTTGAATGAAAAAGAAGAGATTTATGCAGACGAAAATATAGAAGAATATCCAGAAGACACCTGGACTGAAGATCCTAATTTCGATACTAGACTGACAGGAAATACAGACACACTAATGCATCCAGCTGATGTAAGGTCATTGAATAGAACACATAACTTTGCACCAGGTGAGAATCAAATTTCTTTAGGTATGTACCAGGATCCGCATGCAGAATACCTTGCATTTCCTACTATATACTGTGGTCAAGAGCGTCCCTCTAATAAAGACAGACTTGTCCCAGTGACATACAGTACTATTTGCAAATGGGAATTGAGATCACTTGATAGAAGAGCAGCTTGTTCAATACCTAATCTGTTCTTCAAATTGAAAAAGCTGCAGATTAAACAGATACAAGACAAAGTGAATCTTGCAATGCGGAAATGCCAAAGTAATGGAAAGAAAGTAACAGTTAAGGACGTAATAAACCCTTCAGCATTTGATAATATTGTTCGATTGAATGAAGGTTACAGGGTACTTAGAACATTAAGAGGATCACCTGCCTATTGGGAAAGTGCAAAGAAAGATGTATTTGCAATGATTAGACAATTAGGAAAGCCAACATGGTTCTGCTCTTTTTCTGCGGCAGAAACTAAGTGGTCAAGTTTGTTGAAATTTTTAAGCAAACAACTGAACAACACAGACTTGTCTGATGAAGCCATCAAAGAGTTGTCATGGACAGAAAAGTGTGAGTTGATTAAGAAAGACCCTGTTACATGTTCGAGGTATTTCCAGCACAGATTTCAAATGTTCATGCAAAAAATTTTGAAGAGCAGTATCAGTCCTCTAGGCAAAATTGTGGATTATTTCTTTCGTGTTGAATTCCAACAGAGGGGTTCACCACACATTCACATGCTCCTATGGATTGAGAATGCCCCAATATATGAAGAAAGTACTAAGGAGGAAATTCAGATCTTTATTGACAAGCATTGCACATGTTCACAGAATGGTGACATCTCTGAACTGATTAACTATCAAACACACAGGCATGCAAGGACTTGTAAAAAAAGAGGTAAGAATGTATGTCGATTCAATTTTCCTTTGCCTCCATTGCCAAAAACAGAAATCTTGGAACCCCTTGATGAGAAAGACTTTGAAGAAAATTCTCATGTACAGCAGGACTACCTCAAAATTTTTGAATATTTAAATGACTTGAAATATGGAAAGGAAATTGATTTTGAGATTTTCCTCAAGGAGATAGGAATGAATTATGAGAGATATCTTTTTGCACTAAGATCAAGTTTGAAATCACCAAAAGTGTTCTTAAAAAGAGCAGTTTCTGAGATACGCATTAATTCCTACAATGAGTTACTTCTTAAAGCTTGGGAAGCTAACATTGATGTTCAGTTTATTCTTGATGGCTATGCTTGTGCTGCATACATTGTGTCATATATTTCCAAGTCTCAGAGAGGAATGTCAAATTTAATGCAAGAAGCATGTGAAGAAGCTAGAAATGGAAATATGTCTTTGCGGCAACAAGTACGACAAATTGGAAATAAGTTTCTAACTCATGTAGAAATATGTGCACAAGAAGCTGCGTATCTTGTACTGCAAATGCCTTTGCGAAGTAGCAGTAGAACAGTTGTATTCATAAACACGAATGGGCAAAATAAGAGAACGTTTTTGCTCAAACCAATGGAAACACTGCAAGAATTACCGGAGAATTCAACAAATATTGAATCAGACAACTGGATCAAACGATATCAAAGAAGACCAAAGTCTGTTGTTTAGCAGACTTCATTGCAAAATTTGACATAATTTTGCCAGCAAAGGAAAAGACCTCATCTCACAAGAAAGATGTATTACCTGAGGATGAAATGGAAGAAATAAATGAAGATGATATCTTACATGGAGAAAATGATGATGACAATATTCAGGAAGAGCACCTTATGAAAGATGGCTCTATACTTAAAAGAAGGAAGACTTCAAAACTCATTCGACATGTCAGGTATAATAAAGATCAGGACCCAGAAAAGTTTTTTAGAGAACAGCTTATGTTATTCTATCCCTGGAGAAATGAGGAACTGGACTTGATTGGAGAATTCAGCAGTTTTGAAGCTAATTTTAAACACAATCAAAAGACCATCCAGGAAAACAAGACACAATATGAAGCTGATAAAGGAGTTATAGATACTGTGGAAGCATGTATGCTTCATTTAGCAGAAGACAGTAATAATGTTATTGCAGCTGAAGTTCAGCATGAAGATGCAATTGATCAAGAAGAAGACGTATGTGACTTGCATGGCTGTTTCAATCCAGAACATTTTGGTGTAGAATATGATTTAGGTGTTGATTTGGGCATTACAAGGAAACAGTTAGAAAGAAATGATATTGTACGAAACCAGATGCCTGTTTCTGAATATCAAAACCGTGTAAGATCTCTGAATGAGAGACAGACAACTTTCTTTTACCATGTTCTTCATAAAGTAAAAATGGACTTTTTTCCTTTTTACTGCTTTTTGACAGGAGGTGCAGGAGTTGGAAAAAGCTTGCTAACAACATGTCTCTTCCAAGCTATTACAAGTTATTATACAAAACAGCCAGGAGAGAACCTTGATGCTATAAAAACTGTTATGTGCGCTCCAACGGGAAAAGCGGCATACAATATAGGAGGACAAACCATTCATTCATTATTCTGTATACCTGCAAATCAAAGCTTGATTTACAAACCTCTTGATGCGCAACAGCTAGATACGATGCGAGTGAAGTTTCAAAATCTCAAAATTATTTTCATAGATGAAATATCAATGGTTGGGAAAAAAATGTTCAATTTTGTCAACTTGAGACTACAGGAGATTTTTGCTAGCAATGTTCCTTTTGGTGGTGTGAGTATTATTGCTATAGGAGACCTTTTCCAATTGGAACCAGTTTTTGATGGATGGGTTTTTGAAAACTTGGATGATGGCTATGCACCATTGGCAATCAATTTATGGAGTGACCTGTTTGATGTTTATGAATTAAATGAAATTATGAGGCAAAAAGAGGACAAAACTTTCGCCGAGCTGCTTAACAGATTACGCGAAGGCATGCATACTGAAAGTGACATTGAAGAACTCAAATCACGAGCAAGTGACTTAAATCAAGTAGTGGAAGTCAATCCTATTTTACATTTGTTTACCACTAATGCTAAAGTAAATAATCATAACATGGTGGCATTTAATAGTGCAGAAATTGGAAACAAATGTTCTATAGAGGCTATTGATACGGTAGGTGGTGACATAGCTGCAGACTTGAAGACCAAAGTTCTTGCTCAAGTGCCAGAAAATCCTTCTAAAACAATGGGATTACAAAAAGAGGTTCATTTGGTAAAATATTTGCCAGCAGAAATCTGTTTGAATGTTGATGTGGAAGATGGTTTAGCTAATGGCAGTCCATGTATTGTAAAAGAATTGGATTTTAGAGTTCCTGGATCTAAGAGATGTAGTATTGTGTGGGTTCTATTTGAAGAACAAAATATTGGTTCTCTTTCCAGAATGAGGTACTCTTATTTGTACACTGAAAATATTAGCAAATGTTGGACACCTATCCTAGAAGTGTCAAAAAAATTTTCAGTTGGCCGTTACAAAACATGCTATGTTACAAGACGACAGTTTCCTTTGAGATTGGCATGTGCTAAAACAATTCATAAAGCACAGGGATCCACCTTAAATGATGTTGTCGTAGACCTTGGAACCAGGAAACAGGAACATATACATTATGTTGCATTAAGTAGAGTCCGTAAACTAGAAAACTTGTCCATATTGTCACTGAACGAACAGAAAATAGCAGTGTCAGAAAAAGTTGTTCAGGAAATGAAAAGGCTAAGAGAAAATGCTGTTTTAAGAACATGTTTACCAGTCCTGAAGCATATAACATCAGATTTGAAAATTATTTATCACAATACAAGATCATTACACTGTCATATGAAAGATGTTGAAAATGATGAAAATCTGAAATCAGGAGACATTATTGCTATTTCAGAAAGTAGACTTGTACATAGTGATAGAGATGAGGATTATCTGCTGCCAGGATTCAATATGTATCTCTTTGATTCACATGCAACAAATGGCGAAGGACGACCATTTACTGGAATGGTGGTGTACTCAAAATTAAACTTGCACAACCCAAGAAAAATTACTCTGTGTGGAGTGGAGACTGTGATTACTTCCATTGACTATCAGGATTCGTCAGTGAATCTTTTGTTTATGTATTGTCCCATAAATGTGGCAAGCATAGGTAATTTTTGCAAATTTCTTATGTCAGTCCATGAATTAATGGAAACAGATACAGGTATTCCCCTTGTTATGATGGGAGACACAAATATTGACTATTTCACTCAAAGAGATCTCAGTTCATGTCTGGAAAAATTGAATGTAAGACAAATAATGCACAGCTCTACAAGAGATTATGGAAGTTGTTTAGATCATGTGTATACAACATGCATGTCAAATTCTGATATTTCCTGTGCCACTCTTGAATCATATTATTCAGATCACAAACCAATAATTGTATATTTACCATTGTAAGAGTACTATTTCCTATTTAACAGAACTTGCTTTTTGAAACAATTGAAATGTTGACTACCTGAAGTATCACTTTAAGAATTTATGTGATATATGTACATTATTATTTAAAAGGACATTTCATTGCTAAGTTGGGAAATAGTATTTTATTGAACAAAAATTATCTTTCAAGTATGTGGAATTTGGAATAGAAATATTTAATTTTTTAAAATCAACCATGCATTAGTAATACCGGTAAATTACATGAATAATAATTATCGGTGACACCCAACTATAATTATCAAATATGCATAATGTGATTTGCCCATGTATTGTATGTCTTTTCCATAATTTGCTGAAAATTAAATTTTACAAATTTCAGATGCAGGAAAAAAGTCTTAAAGACTTGACACTGGAGACCAGTGGAAAGGATGCAGGGGCATATCCAATGGGGAAAATAGTAGTCGTCGTTGCTAAAGTAGGGCACACTGCCCAGTTCAAAGGCAGTAGTGGCACAATGGGCAGTATGCTGAACTTCAGTATTGCAGACAAGACAGATACAATGCTGGCTACTCTAAGTGACGAAAGCCAAATGGTGAAAATCCAACAAGGAAGAACCCTTCAGCTCAGAAACTTCCTCGTTAAAGGAAACCGAGTTGTACTCTCAGCCCATTCAAAAATCATGTATGCGCCACCACTCAACTTGCCAAAGGAGCAGACAGATAAAGCTGTTCTGCTAATTCAACCAACCTCTCCATCCAAAACAATAAAAGAGGCTCTGGAAACGTCCCTACGGGAAATTGTATCGGTACAGGGACAGGTCATTCGGGTAAGTATTTTTTGTACTTTATCATCTTACCAGTTACCACAAAGAAGCTAGTATTCTTTTATACTGTAGATCACTATTTTTTCACAACACTATTTTTCACGACTTCTTTACGTGGTATTTAAAAGCAAGATAAAATATACACATTCTGTGGTTTCCGTTATATATGTATAAACATTTATAATACAAATTAGCCTGGGTACTTTTGATGTGGACGCTCCACACAAGTGTCACCTTTTCTGGCCCAGTGATTCTTGAGAAAAGATTTTCATTCATTTTTCCTATATATTTCTTTGTAAAACTTTGATTTCACAAAAAAAAGTTAATTACAGTTTGTAAATTATTCAAATGCTAGACAAAGGAAAGAAAATATGATCTTTAAAATCTCTAAAACCTGAATAGATATGAAAATACATGTATATGCAAATAGTTAATACACTTGGAATATATCATTTAATCAAAATCCAGACAAGAATCCTTCCTTAAAGTTTATGGTAAACTCTTATTTCAGGATGAGGCTATTAAAGTAGTTCCCGTTGGACAACAACAAGCAAACATAAGAACTGTGTGCTTGAAGGACCAAGGGCACACCATGGACGTCACACTATGGAGAAATCTTACTGAAATGGACATCAAAGTGGGCGATTTCCTAGAGTTAACTCACTGCATTGTCACAGAGTGGCAAAAGAAGAAAGCGTTAAACACTACAAGAAATACTGTTATCAAGGTACACGTCATCTGAGTGCATGCATTACTATTGTATCAGTTATTGTTCTAGTCAACTTCTGAAAACACAATACAATTTATCAAAAAATTATTTCTACCAGAAATATGATTAAGAAAACTTAAAAATGAATGAATTATTTTATAAATTAAACATTTTAATTTATATTAACACCAGAGGAATATAATTAATTTGCAGTATATTGATATGTTATTTCATGAACAAAGTACGTAAAATTTTGTGCCAAATTTTGTGCTCAAAAATAAGTCTTGTACATTTTAAACTATCTTTTCCAGAAAGTAGAACCACGTACATTGGTGGTAAAGGGCGAAGTAGAGGCTTTTTCTTTTGGAGATCAGGAATTTGAACTATGTCTGGTTGAGGAAAATATATGCCAGGACATTAAAGTGAATATTGGAACTTTCCAAGGCGAACTCGCAAAGAAAGTAGAAGAAGCATCCACTTGGGATATTTCACAGTTAGAAAATTGTGTCGTGTCCATGCTACCATTCCCAGTAGAAGCAACTATGAGTGGATCAGATGTGCAAACATTCAAAATCCTTTGAAGTTAAAAATTTGATCCCAGTTATTTGTTGATGTTTCAATCAAATAGTTATACATGTACTAACTGGGTTTTTTTTTCTTATCTTGCAACACATGCAGTTACCATGTAGTAAGTCATTGATATTAGTATTATTTTGGTAGTTTACCACACTAGATTTTTTTGTTGGGTCGAATTCATGTTTCATTTTTGTAAATTTACTGTAAGCCAATTGTTATTTATGTCATATTTAATTCGCAACTCCACAGTCTAAGAAGCAATCCTGCACAATTTTCACTACAGACGGTAAATTTCACTACAAATGCAAAGTAGAAAAAAAATAATTAGCAGAGAAAATGGAGATAAAAATACTTGCCTATTATACAAGACCCAATACTTTTAAATATATAACATGAATAAAACTTGGTTTACAGTATTGTAAGATGATGCTATTGTTCAAATAGTAAAAAAGAGTGGTTTCATTTTCTTAGGCAGAAAAGTAATTCCTGTTTATCACTGTATACCAGTGTGCCTTGCCATGGATTTTTCATATGTAGTTAATGATTTTAGTCTTGTGTATTAAAAACTATTTGTATTTTCATATACAAATACATGTACATCATAAGAAATTATACCTCATTTTCCCTTCTTGCCAACTCATTTTTATCAAATCATTTAATAGTGCAAGTCATATTATTTAGGAAAGTATTTGGAAGTATTTGTAATAATGCATTCTGTGCCAAAATTACACATTTGTTATATTCTGTGCCAAAAACAAAACTATGCATACATATGTGCTAACTAGTGGTGCCTTATCTAACATATTCATTAAAATGCCTTGTAATATGTTGAACTTAGCAGAAATAGACAGGGCATTTTCTTTCTTTAAATCACAATAACTGGAATGTTCTTACATCTTATTCTCAAACTTTTGTTACCTATAATAATCAAATACAGTTGTTTCATTTTTAGACCATGATGTGTCCATAATTGCATATGATTGTGAAGAAACTTAATGATTCAGTATGATAGAATAAATTTGTCACTAAACATGTACATGTGTTTGTGTATATAGAAACAAGCTGTATACTAATACAGTGTTAGATGTTTGTTTGTTTTAATGCTGTTGCATTATTTTATATTGGACCAATTTTGTTTAGTATACATTGCACAGGTACATGCTTTATGTATACAAGGGTAAATATTGTTTTGTTCTGGTACCAATTGCATGGTTGTTCATGAACTTTCCTAGTACTTTAATGCTTAGATGTTTCTTTTTGACAAGAGGACATTGTAATAGTGATTATACTGTTATGCATTTTGTATTTGTCTTCTACCTCTTTCAGATCTCAAACTTTTATGTTTCTGGTTTTTTTTGAAACATGATTATTTCTTAACATTGATAATTTTTTTTTACCATATGTATATGATTGTTAAAGTCATTGTTTTAACACAGTAACTGAAAAGCAGAAATCATTATGTGATCATAGTCATACATTTATTATTTTTGTTCTATACACACTTGTAATTCGTAAACATTCCTCAATGTTTTAAGGAGAAATCTGAAAAGATATATGTCCATAATTTCATAAGATTGTGAAAAACTGAACTGTTTTGTAGTTTGTGTCAAATTGTCACTAAACATGAACATGTACTTGTGGATTTAGAGACAAGTTGTATATATTTACAATTTTAGACGTTTGTTTGTTTTAATGCTGTTGCATTATTTTATATTGGACCTATTTTGTTTAGTATACATTGCACAGGTACATGCTTTATGTATACAAGGGTAAATATTGTTTTGTTCTGGTACCAATTGCATGGTTGTTCATGAACTTTCCAAGTACTTCTTAGATGTTTCTTTTTGACAAGAGGACATTGTAATAGTGATTATACTGTTATGCATTTTGTATTTGTCTTCTACCTCTTTCAGATCTCAAACTTTTATGTTTTTTTTTCTTTTTTTTTTTTTTTTTGGATACATGATTATTTCTTAACATTGATATTAATAATATTTTTTTTTACCATATATGATTGCTTAAGTCATTGTTTTAACACAGTAACAGAAAAGCAGAAATCATCATGTGATCATAGTCATACATTTATTATTTTTGTTCTATACACACTTGTAATTTGTAAACATTCCTCAATGTTTTAAGGAGAAATCTGAAAAGATATATGTCCATAATTTCATAAGATTGTGAAAAACTGAACTGTTTTGTAGTTTGTGTCAAATTGTCAATGAACATGAACATGTACTTGTGGATTTAGAGACAAGTTGTATATATTTACAATTTTAGACGTTTGTTTGTTTTAATGCTGTTGCATTATTTTATATTGGACCTATTTTGTTCAGTATACATTGCACAAGTACATGCTTCATGTATACAAGGATAAATATTGTTTTGTTCTGGTACCAATTGCATGGTTGTTCATGAACTTTCCAAGTACTTCTTAGATGTTTCTTTTTGACAAGAGGACATTGTAATAGTGATTATACTGTTATGCATTTTGTATTTGTCTTCTACCTCTTTCAGATCTCAAACTTTTATGTTTTTTTTTTTTGTTTTTTTTGTTTTTGATACATGATTATTTCTTAACATTGATATTAATAATATTTTTTTTTACCATATATGATTGCTTAAGTCATTGTTTTAACACAGTAACAGAAAAGCAGAAATCATCATGTGATCATAGTCATACATTTATTATTTTTGTTCTATACACACTTGTAATTTGTAAACATTCCTCAATGTTTTAAGGAGAAATCTGAAAAGATATATGTCCATAATTTCATAAGATTGTGAAAAACTGAACTGTTTTGTAGTTTGTGTCAAATTGTCAATGAACATGAATATGTACTTGTGGATTTAGAGACAAGTTGTATATATTTACAATTTTAGACGTTTGTTTGTTTTAATGCTGTTGCATTATTTTATATTGAACTATTTTTGTTTAGTATACATTGCACGGGTAGATGCTTTATGTATACAAGGGTACATATTGTTTTGTTCTGGTATCAATTGCATAATTGTTCATGAACTTTTCAACTACTTCATTCCTTAGATATGACACAATTTTAAATAACAATAGTACATTGTAATATTGTTTATACTTACTTGCATTTCTGCAATTTTTTTATATACAAGATTACTTCTTATCATTGGTATTCATGTCATTTTTTTTATACCTATATCATTGGTAGAGTGATTTCTTTTCTTTAAAAAAGTAATCGAAAAGCATACATAGTCATCAATTATTACTTAAACAAAATATAATTTGTAATCACGTCTCATTTTTTAAAAACAGATTGTTTTGAACTAATAAACTGAAAAGGAATATCACTTCTACCGGTAGTATAATACTACATTTAAAACTGCCTGATATATTGTTTGTCAAATTTGTCAAGATATATCTTTTTATTGTAAGCAACAGTTCTCCATAAACAAATAGTTGTTAAATAGCAAGCCCTAGGAAAATTCTTGTTTTCATACAGTTACATAAAGTAACTAAGCATAATATTTTGCTCTACTCAAAAAATGTGTTCAAAAACATTTATTGCATGTTAATAAACTTGTTTTACTTTTAACATTTTTTTTGTGTTGCTTTAAAGCTATAGATCAAACCATTTCTAATCACAAAGACAAGGAAAAGTCTGTTTTAAGACAAACTGTACTATGTTATAAGATCTTCTAATCCAAAGGCATAAAGAGCTAATGATATGGCCATTTGTAAAGTGTGCATAAACTTCTTTGAATATAGGAAGAGAATCCATGACCAATCAGTGCCAAACTTGTCATAGGGTATCCTTGGCAAAATGCTACCATTTATACTAAAGGGTTAGTATGCTAAAACAAGGGAAAATAGTTGATGAAGTATCTTCTCCATAGCCACCAGACATATCTTCATCAAACTTACATACAAGGATCAGAATATATTCAAGATTGATATTTGCATGGGATATTACCCTTGGTCAAAAGGGCATGGACTCAAGATAAAACTCAAAATCATGATAACTTAAAAGTAAATCACAATGCATACTCTTCAAAATTTGTGGGTATTGCTTGATTTGAAGGCATATTTTGGACAATTTAAAGGCTACAATCATCAAACTTTAACAGTTGATGCATCTTGGATCACTGTGACCTACATCTCTAACTTTATAACTAAAACTTTTTAAAATTTTTCATCCCATTATTTCAAACACAGAGAGGATTATAATCATAAAATCTTGTAAGTTAATGCATCTTGCAACCTTAAGACATAATTATGAAAAAGGCATCACTGCAACCTTTCTTTTTGAATTTTGCACGCATTTGTTATCAAATTGTTTAAAAGGCACATTCTGATTACATTTAGACATACAACTATCAAACTTGGTCAGCACATGCATCTTGCAACTTTGAAAATATCAACATAAATGTATGTCATGATAACCTACTTACGACATTTTATTGCTATATTTCAGTATCTTAGGTATTCATTGGCTTAGGATCATCAAACTTTGTGAGTCTCTGCATCTTTAGTTTTCGGAGAGTGACGACCAAAAAGTAGGTCACGGTGACCTACTTATGAAATTTTATGGCTTTATTTATGTATCTCCAGTTCTTATTGGCTTAAAATCATCAAACTTTGTGAGTTGATGCATCTTGTGTTCTCGCAGAGTGATGACCAAAAGTAGGTCATGATGACCTAATTTTGACATTTTGTGGATAAAGTTTAGTATCTCTCATACTTAAAATCATAAAACTTTGTCAATTGATGCATTTTGGGTTTTCGGAGATTGTCGACCAAAAATTAGGTCATGGTGACCTACTTTTGAATTACGTATTAGCTTAGAATCATCAAAATTTTGTCAGTCTAGACACCTTGGGGTTTTGAAAAAGGTCGACCATAAAGAAGGTCAATGTGACCGACTTCTTACATTTTATGGCTATATTTAATTATATCTGGTACTTATTGACTTTGGAGTCATCAAACTTTAGCGGTTAAGGCATATTAGGGTTTTATTGAATAACCAACAAGAAGTATTGGCTTAGAATCATCAAAATTTTTGTCAGTTTAGGCATCTTGGGTTCTTGGATAACGTCAATCAAAAAGTAGGTAACCATAACCTACTTTTGACTTTTGATGGCTATATTTAATTATCTCTGGTACTAATTGACTTAGAATTGTCAAACTTTGTCAGTTGATGCATCTTGGATTTCCAGAGAATGTTGACCAAAAAGTAGGTCATGGTGACCTCTTTTGAATATTTCAGGTACTTAATTAGAATCATCAGTGTTTGTCAATTAATGTATCGTGAGTCCTCAAAAAATTTCAATCAAAAGATAGGTCACTGTGACTTACCTATGGTATCTTTCAATTATATTATAATATATTCAGTCTTAACTGGCTAAATATTATCAAAATTTTCTAATTGATGCATTTTAGGTCTTGTGATACTAATAGAATTGAAGGTTTTTTATTACAAGTGATATATAGTACAATTCATTAAAAGTACGATTCAAGGTCCTTGGGCCTCTTGTATATAAATATTTACAGGACTATTAGCTAATAAATTATCAAAGTTTGATAACCAAAAAGTAGATCAAGGTGACGTACTTCTGACAATTTATGGCTTTATATAAGACTCATGAGTACTTATTCGATAAGAATATCAAACTTTGTCTGTTGATGCATTTTGGTCTTTTATATAGACAAAAAAGTAGGTCAATGTGACCTACTAGGTCAATTACTGTTTCTTACGTTCAACGTGTCTGTTTTTGAAAACTATTCACCTAAATATCTGTTAATTTTAATCAAAGTGAAATTCAAATTTCAAAAATAATATCAAAATATCACAAAAATTCTATGAATATTGCAGTTTCATTATAACAAATCCTGATTTATAAAACCACACAATATTACTCATAGTATACTCTACAGCAATGTTTAACAAATATTTATTCCTTTAAGATCTGTCAAATATGAAGCCTCCGTCTATCAGTACTTTCAGTACTTTGATTATTAATATCAAGATACCCATATTGATCAAACCCAGACCAGTTGGAAGCAAAGTCATTTTTGTTGTTGACAAAATTGTTTCGTACCTTATACACGGGTTTAAAGCTTTCATATCAGTAAAATCTGTACACATGACTTATTTAAAAAGAAATACCTGAACAATAAACAACCGGATTTGCCCTATTAACCATGGAGTTGAATGCCCGATATGTTTTAAACGTGCAAGCCTGCTATAATATTACATAAAGAGGCGTAACACAGGATATTTGAATGAATTTATTTTCAAAAGACTCTTTATTTATTTTATCATACATAAACACCTATTGTATATTAGTTCCGAACTTATTCTGATTAATTCTTTTGAAAAAGAAAAAAAAATGAAATCTATTTATCCTTTGATTAACACAAATTCGGATTTTAGAATTCCGTCTTTAAAGTCTGTATTTATGTGTACATGTATGCGATGTTAAGTCGCACCGAAAATATTCGATATTCCATCACACACTAGCTATGACGAGTACCACGCACAGTAATGTGAATATGGAGCATAAGGGGACGACCATTTGATCCAGAGGGGGGGGGGGGCTGGCAATTTTTTTTAGACGGATTATTTATTTTCATGCTTGTCAAGGACAAATTATTTATTTTCAAGATTATCAAGGACAGATTATTTTTTTTCCATGTCTTACCGTATTCTAAAAGACTAATCATTTATATACCATATTCGGATACAGGATTTTGGGAGGGGGCAGGTATAACTTAGTTGAGGCAAGAGGTCTGGGGCGGCCGTAAGGGCCCCAATGGGTCCTGGGCGAAGCCCTGGTGGAGGCCAAGGGAGTACACCCCCCCCGAAGCTCTTGGGGTTTCGTGTATTATAAGAGGATTGATTGATTGATTTTATATTGTTTAACGCCAAGTCGGCAATATTTCAGCCATATTTTGGCGGGCAAGTATTAACCGGTTTTTGAAAGCTTTTGGTTTCTCTGGCGGCCCCCAATGAGCCTACTCTTTATCGAACTCCAGAGAAACGATCTTTTGCGTGCCAAGGGGGTTGTTATCCTTGACACGGGGCACCATTTAAAGTCCCATCCGACGGACTGGAAATTTAAAATATGTAAACTGTTAAAAATAAAATCATCTAAATATATATCATAAAATTGCTCTAATCATTTCTATATTTTATTGTAAAAATCAGTTTCATGTAAATATTCCAAAATTGCATGTACATTTACATTTGTAAAAAGGTCATATATCGTTTTTGCATTTCCAAAAAGTCTACTTCGAATTGGCGAAAAATCAGAACATTCTAATAAAATATGATTGACAGTTATCGGACAGTCACAGGATATACACTCCGGCTGAGACTCCCGATTCAGCAAGTATTCATGTGTAATTTTAGAGTGACCAATACGTATTCTTGATATAATTACTTCGTCCTGACGTTTCAGACCGAAGTCACATGATTTGTTCACTTTGTTTTCAATAGCATAAAGCTTACTTTCATCACAAAAATTCCAATAAATTTGCCAAAGAGAATCGACATAAATTTTAACGAGGTATTTCAAATCGGTGTAAGGAATTTTAAATAAAGTAATTTCATGTTGAAGTGCTGTTTTTGCTGCACTGTCAGCCTTAGTGTTATAAGAGGAAAACCAGGCACTATTATAGTGGTACTGGTTATTATGAACCAAAGTATGACATAATTAATACCGTACCTTGAATGAAGTAAGTTCAGGGAGCAAAGCCACCTGAAGCTCTTGGGTTTTTCAATATATATAAGAGTTAAACTTTTGTAGGAATTGCTTAGATGTGTACCAAACAATGACATTATTACATGTAAGTCATATCATACTTTGAATGAAAAGGGCTGAGGGGCGAAGCGTCCTGAAGCTCTTGGGTTTTTGTGTATTTTAAGAGTAAAACTAGGCACAAAAATATTGTTATTGTCCCAAAGTATGGCATTATTATTATTATTCGTATCATACTTTGGAATTTTAAGGGATGGCCTGGGGTCGTTCACATGTACATCCCCCTTAAATCTGCCCGTGTATAATTTGTATTACTGAATTTATCTGGAAAGTATAATTATTCGACAAGAAAATTTATCTTTTGTGGTGTATGAGAATTGTTTTGTATCTAAAGTTATGCATCACACTTTACTTACTAAGTGCAAATTGTTATGTTGATAAAATGACTTAAGTATCCATTCTGGTAATCTGATTTTAAATACTATTTGGTTACTAAAATGGCGAGCGAAAAAAAATTAAATTGAAGACTTTTGAGATTAAATTACATGTAAATAAAAGAAAGTATTTTTACATTATTTTATTATCAGAAGTCAAGGTCAGATTATTTATTTTCTCTGTAGTGGAGGACAGATTATTTATTTTCAACATTTTCAGGGACAGATTATTTATTTCCAAAATCTGCCAGCCAGCTCTCCCCCTCAGAATCAAATGGTCGTCCCCTAAACGAGTCACCAGATTGACATTATTGCAAAATTTAGAAAGTGAACCAAATTTATGATCAATCAAAAGTAATATAATGCTGTACATGTTCTCTGTGTTCCGTAAAACAATTTTA